TTTAAAAACATTCCGTATAATTAGAAACGAAATTAAATAAGTTCTAAAATTAATAAAACTGAAAATTGAAATAACTGAAATAAATATATAAACTGAAACTATTTATTTTAGATTTATTTAAATAAAAAATAAAAAAACTTGGCGGAAAATCTATAAAATAAATTAAATATGTACAAAAAATGACTGAAATGCTAAAACTATTTAGAAATGCTTAAAAAAAGAGAGACAAAAGCACACACCAAATAATAATTAAAAAAAACCTGAAAAAAAAACCCTTAATTTAAAATATTAATAAATACTATAATAATATATAAATAAGTTTCTTATTTCAGTTAGGATGTTGCCTATGTAGACAGCAAAGCAGCACATTAGTTTCAGAAACAGAGCTTATAAGATTAATAAAAAAAACATCTGCATTCTCAAAAACAGTCCTTGGCTGTGATTGGCTGGTCTTTCCTGTCAATCACACACTCACCTTCGATTGGTCTCTGCATTCTTTTTAGCAGCCATGACTTCATCTCGGCCTCACTGGCCCGTCTGCGCAGCTCCGCTTCAGAAAGCTGTACGTCCGAGTTTGGTCCCTTATTATCCTCAACATTTGGTCCAGGCGAACTACATTTCCCAGAGTCCTCTAGGGTCGTCTTCCCTTTTTGGTCGCTTGCGGTCGCCTCGACTGCCGAGACTCCATTTACTAACGTTTCACCCCTTGTTTTGGTCACCTCGTCCACTTCTATGACAGCTTCCTTCCCATCATGCACCAGTGCCGTGGGTTCGTCCAGCCTGTCGGGAAGCTCTGTGGAACGGTTGTGAAGGCCTTCATCTTCGTCTTCCTCAGTCACGGATTTGTCTGTTGGCGTCTTTCTTTGCTCCTGTAGTGGCGCCCCCTCTTGGCCAGAGCAGGTGGTGTTAGAGTCGCTCTGCAGCAGCTCCAGTTCGGTGAAACCTTCATCCGACGGCGATTTGTCAGCGATCTGGCACTCTGATATCTCAGAGATGGCCGTTTCGATATCGTCTAACACGATTGGCTGGTTGGGCGCACCGAGAGCCTCGTAACGACTAAAGGGGTTCAGATCTCGTTCGGAGGGAAGCTCCTCCCACTCGCCTGGCCTGTATAACGGACAGAGATCCTGGGGTTCATCACTACAACGGATAACAGCGGCCATCATCATCATCATGAGGGTGGAGATGGTGAAATTAAAGAGAAAAACAAACAAAACATCCAAAATGAACAAACTCAAGACTCAACTGAACATGAAAAATAAATATGACAAAACGTGAGGGATAAAAGTGATGTTTGGTGTCAAAGCTGAACGGAAATGGAATGAATGAGAGAAAGTGAAAGAGGTGGAGTATTTCAGCTGATTTGCATCCCTCAGTTTGTGGGAATAAACTAAAAATGCATTTACAGCAATAGATTGACAATGGTAGTCTATGGGGGGCAAATGTGCAGCAAGCTTGAAATATGCAACTATCACGCTGATTCTAAAACATAAGCTTTACACATAACATTTAAATTATTCACTTTGCCACTAAGCCTTTTCTGTAAATGTGTGGTTAAAGTAAACATAAATAATTACTTTAATTAATACACAAGGTAAAATAAATTAATATAAATAAAAAATAATACATTTTATAAAATAAATAAGGAAAATAAATTAAATTACATTACATTTACATAGATAAATTTAATAAAATAAAAATAAAATAGTTAAATAGTTAAGTTAAATTAAATTAAATTACATTTAAATAAATTAATATATGATATAAAATAAACTATAAGATAAATGATATCAAAATTAATTAAGTTACATTTAAATAAATAAATAAATAAATGCAATAAAATAAATACAATAAAAAAGTAAAATAAATGAGTTAAAAATAAATTAAATGAAAATAAATTTAAAAAGTACATAAATACATTTAATTTTAACAAACAAAACAACTGGACTGTTATTGGTCATTCAGCGTATTAAAATATTAAATACTAAATTAATTTGATTTTAACCGTGGACCCGTAAATATTTACTGAACCAAAACTGAGACCACATGACATAATGCTTTTTTTAATGCCCTTTTATATCATAAAAAGCATTTTTGTGATAAACAAAAAAACAAAGGATCTGGCTGCTCATAGATTACATAATAAAAGTCCCACTGGTATATAATCAAATCTTAATGGTGCTAAAACAACATTTTGTTGCCATCCCAAAACAAAACCTAAAGCTTGTTTCTAGTAAACACAAGCACATAATCGTTTAAATAAAATATTTTTAAAAACCATAAACGACACAGAGGGGGTTTTCTAAGACGACAACAAATGTAAGAGATTTTAAAGACAGAGGAGTCTGTTGCTTACGACGGCAGCGCGTCCTTGAGCTTCATACGGGACACGTCGTCATACAGGGCCACAGACAGCACCTCCTCCATGGGACAGATGAGACCGTACTCCTCACAGCCGTTCTCGATCACCAGCGGGTCAGATTTGTGCGGGTCAAACATGATGTTGTTGGGCGTTATAATCATCACTCCTCCCACAACTCCCTGCAGAGATCCCAGACACCTCAATTAAAGCTGAAGTGCGTCATGGGACATTTTTTTGGGCTGGGACAATAAATCGATGCATCGCGAATGGAGTAATTATTCTGCATCGATTCAGAGATCGCGATTCTCTCTTGAATCGATTCTGAGCTTAGTTTTTAACTATTGCTGTCAAACGATTAATTGCATCCAAAATAAAAGTTTCTGCATGTACTGTGTATATTTATTATGCATATATAAATACACACACATACAGCAAGTATTTTGAATATATTTACATGCATATATTTATATTCATATAATTTATATTATATATAAATATATTTAATATATAAATGTAAAATTTTTCTTAAATATATACATGGGTCAAAGACGAAAAAGGGTTTAAGCATAAAAACAATAAGTGAAATACTGCATTAAATTGTTGTTGTTTTTCCCAAAAATTATTTTCTGTTTAATTTAATTGCAATTTTGTTTTTCTGAGCAAAAAATATGATGACCAAAGATGATGTATAAATCTCCATTTCACAAAATTGACCCTTATGACTGGTTTTGTGCTCCAGGGTCACATTTATGTTTGTCTTTCTTCAGAAAAAAATGAACAAAATCTGAAATTTGAGCCGGGGAAGTTTCTGAAATGTGCTTGATTTGACACGGTGTGAGCGAACAGCATCATGCAACGCTCACCATGCCATCAGTGAAGTACTTGCAGCTCATCTTGAGGAATTTGATGCTGACTGGACTCTCGTCTTCAGAGAGCGGCGACGTCTCTCTGCGCACGGGCCGTCTGGACCTGCAGCTCGATTCACTGTCCTGTCAGACGGAGATATATCAGAGATCCATTAGTGCTGTCTGATTCAGAGTCGCTCATTCATTATTCATGATGCTTATCATCACTGCATTAGTCAACAATACAGCAGAACAAATCCACAATTCAGCACAAACTCCTCAGAATGAAGTATACTGGAGATTTAAGCACTTTAATAGAGCTCCACCAGTCATTTTTAATATCTTATAGTATATGATTTTTAGTGTCCAGTTATGAGCTCAGAGGCTTTTATGAAATTCCGGGTTCGGAGGAAACTGCAGGAGGTTTGTTATCAGATGAAAAGCTAATCATTCTAAACGTGTGAAATGAAAACAAATGGTTTTAAAATAAAAACAATCAAAATAAAACTAATATTTTATTTGTGCCTGTCATGTGAACATTAACTGACATCAGAAAAACTGTTATTGAACAATTTATTGACTTATATTAACTTAAAATCTCAGGCGGACATCAAGAAAGTAATTTAGGTCAAAAACGGTTTAATCACTGAATGTCTGAGTATCACTGAGATACTATAATAGGTTTTTTTTTATTTGTTTTTATTTTTCTATTTTAATTTGAATTTTTACGTTTTAGTAATTTTGTGTTTGTCATTTTTATTTTATTTTAGTTTTATGATCATTAATTGAAATAAAGCTGAAATAAAATAAAATATTAAAATTATATTATAAAAAATAAAGTAAACTTAAATGAAAATTACCCCTCCCCCAAAACAAAACAAAAATTAAAGTTGAAAAAGTACAATGACTAAAATTTTAAATAAATACAAATAAATAAAAATGAAAAAAGCACATAAAAAACTAAAATTAAAATTAAAACTTTAAAATAAAATAAAAAACCTAAATAATAAATTTTAGAACATCAAGTTAAATTAAGTGAAAATGAGAAATGCTGCCTTTGCAACTAGTATATATATACACTTTAAAAACATTCCGTATAATTAGAAACGAAATTAAATAAGTTCTAAAATTAATAAAACTGAAAATTGAAATAACTGAAATAAATATATAAACTGAAACTATTTATTTTAGATTTATTTAAATAAAAAATAAAAAAACTTGGCGGAAAATCTATAAAATAAATTAAATATGTACAAAAAAAATGCTAAATGCTAAAACTATTTAGAAATGCTTAAAAAAAGAGAGACAAAAGCACACACCAAATAATAAAAACCTGAAAACCAAATAATAATTAAAAAAAACCTGAAAAAAAAACCCTTAATTTAAAATATTAATAAATACTATAATAATATATAAATAAGTTTCTTATTTCAGTTAGGATGTTGCCTATGTAGACAGCAAAGCAGCACATTAGTTTCAGAAACAGAGCTTATAAGATTAATAAAAAAAACATCTGCATTCTCAAAAACAGTCCTTGGCTGTGATTGGCTGGTCTTTCCTGTCAATCACACACTCACCTTCGATTGGTCTCTGCATTCTTTTTAGCAGCCATGACTTCATCTCGGCCTCACTGGCCCGTCTGCGCAGCTCCGCTTCAGAAAGCTGTACGTCCGAGTTTGGTCCCTTATTATCCTCAACATTTGGTCCAGGCGAACTACATTTCCCAGAGTCCTCTAGGGTCGTCTTCCCTTTTTGGTCGCTTGCGGTCGCCTCGACTGCCGAGACTCCATTTACTAACGTTTCACCCCTTGTTTTGGTCACCTCGTCCACTTCTATGACAGCTTCCTTCCCATCATGCACCAGTGCCGTGGGTTCGTCCAGCCTGTCGGGAAGCTCTGTGGAACGGTTGTGAAGGCCTTCATCTTCGTCTTCCTCAGTCACGGATTTGTCTGTTGGCGTCTTTCTTTGCTCCTGTAGTGGCGCCCCCTCTTGGCCAGAGCAGGTGGTGTTAGAGTCGCTCTGCAGCAGTTCCAGTTCGGTGAAACCTTCATCCGACGGCGATTTGTCAGCGATCTGGCACTCTGATATCTCAGAGATGGCCGTTTCGATATCGTCTAACACGATTGGCTGGTTGGGCGCACCGAGAGCCTCGTAACGACTAAAGGGGTTCAGATCTCGTTCGGAGGGAAGCTCCTCCCACTCGCCTGGCCTGTATAACGGACAGAGATCCTGGGGTTCATCACTACAACGGATAACAGCGGCCATCATCATCATCATGAGGGTGGAGATGGTGAAATTAAAGAGAAAAACAAACAAAACATCCAAAATGAACAAACTCAAGACTCAACTGAACATGAAAAATAAATATGACAAAACGTGAGGGATAAAAGTGATGTTTGGTGTCAAAGCTGAACGGAAATGGAATGAATGAGAGAAAGTGAAAGAGGTGGAGTATTTCAGCTGATTTGCATCCCTCAGTTTGTGGGAATAAACTAAAAATGCATTTACAGCAATAGATTGACAATGGTAGTCTATGGGGGGCAAATGTGCAGCAAGCTTGAAATATGCAACTATCACGCTGATTCTAAAACATAAGCTTTACACATAACATTTAAATTATTCACTTTGCCACTAAGCCTTTTCTGTAAATGTGTGGTTAAAGTAAACATAAATAATTACTTTAATTAATACACAAGGTAAAATAAATTAATATAAATAAAAAATAATACATTTTATAAAATAAATAAGGAAAATAAATTAAATTACATTACATTTACATAGATAAATTTAATAAAATAAAAATAAAATAGTTAAATAGTTAAGTTAAATTAAATTAAATTACATTTAAATAAATTAATATATGTAATAAAATAAACAATAAAATAAATGAAAACCAAAATAAATTAAGTGAATTACATTTAAAATGAATGAATAAATAAATAATAAAATAAATACAATAAAAAAAAATAACAATAAAAAAGAAATTAGTTAAAAATGAATTAAATGAAAATAAATTAAATACTAAATTAAAATAAATACATTTCATTTAATCAAACAAAACAACTGGATTGTTATTGGTCATTCACAGTATTAAAATATTAAATACTAAACTAATTTAATTTCAACCATGGACCCGCAAATATTTACTGGACCAAAACTGAGACCACAGAACTGTGATACAAACTGAACCATGAGAAATTAGAACAGCTAAACCCCTTAAGATCAAAAAAACTAAGGATCTGGCTGCTCATAGATTACATAATAAAAGTCCAATTGGTATATAATCAGGTAATCGTGATTACCGTGAAACCAAACCAATGTATAGTTGACATTTAAAGGCTAAATGCTGTAGAAAAGCAAGTTTTTCTGGAGGAGTGTTTTCAGCTTGTTAACTTTCATATGAAAATATGGCATGCAGTTGCTTCAAACAATGGTATAAAGCTATTCAAAACATCATTCAATGTAAATCATGATAATCGTAATTAATAATCGCAATTACAATTTCAAGGGAATAATCGACAATTATGATTTTTGTCGTAATTGTGCAGCCCTTTACGTAATCAAATCTTAATGGTGCTAAAACAAAATTTTGTCGCCATTCCAAAACAAAATTAATGCACATAATCATTTTAATAAAATCTAAAAGGGGGTTTTCTAAGACAACAACAGAATGTAAGAGATTTTAAAGACAGAGAGAGAAAGGAGTGCTGCTTACGACGGCAGCACGTCCTTGAGCTTCATACGGGACACGTCGTCATACAGGGCCACAGACAGCACCTCCTCCATGGGACAGATGAGACCATACTCCTCACAGCCGTTCTCGATCACCAGCGGGTCAGATTTGTGCGGGTCAAACATGATGTTGTTGGGCGTTATAATCATCACTCCTCCCACAACTCCCTGCAGGACAAGAAATAAAACAGAAGCCTCATTTAAAGGGATAGTTCACCCAAAAATGACAATTCTGTCATTAATTACTCACCCTCATGTCGTTCCAAACCCGTAAGACCTCTGTTCGTCTTCGGAGCACAAATTAAGATATTTTTGATACTCTGACTCTCCCATAGACAGCAATGTAATTACCACGATCAAGGTGCATGATCTAAATAATTTTTAACAACATTGGATTGTAAATTACATCATTTTAGTCAAAGTCAATGACTGGGAGACTTGAATGTTTTATTTTAAATCTTTTATGTATATTTGAAAAACAGCCACGGGTAAAATTCTAATGTTAAAGCTAAGGTCTGTCTTTTCTGCATCATGGAAATCGCTATATTGAGTAAAAATGCATGAGGAATGACCGGAAATCCATTGGTCAGGTGTGGGAACACTGTATCCTATCAGTGTTGATTAGGGGTGTAACGGTGCACGCATTCGCACCGAAAGCTCGTTAGTTCACTATAAATATTAGACTATATACTCATTATATTTTACTTTACCTGTTAGTGATGTCTTAATTAGTTAATGTATGTTTAAATAAATCGGTTACGAAACAAGTTATGACAGCCACTGTGCAAATTTCAACAACAAATAGAAATTTTATCATTTAGATGTTAATTTAAAACTGCATAATGTGCAATTTACATGTTTGCATGCATTTTTTTTTTTGCAAGTTGAGTGATTGTTGATTATTATATTTAAAAATAAATAGTTATTAAATGTAAGTTTGGGCTCTGTTGCTAAATTGTAACCTTATAGTAATGTAAAAGGGCTTTTAACTAAAAAATTTAGTTATAATTGAATTTATTTAAAGAAAGAGAGAAATTTGTTCAGTAAGCCACTGTTTAATAATAATTTAAAAAAGCAATGTTATGTTTTTCTCCCTGCTGTACTGAATCCATACCGAACCGCCATGTTTGCGTGCCGTTACACCCCTAGTGCTGAGGGTAACATGTTACAAGTAACACTTAAGTAACTAGTAAAGTAACACATTACTTTTAAACTTAAATATCTGAGTTACTTTTTTAAATAAGTAATGCACGTTACATTTATTCACTTCAGGCTGAGGCTTATTAATTTCACTTTTGGTGTGCCTTCACAGTTGCCAAAAATATAACTTTTGGGTTTTTTGTTATTAAAAAAAATTTGATCTGGTGACAAAAAGTAACGCAAAAGTAATGTAATGCATTACTTTCATAAAAAGTAACTACGTAATGCAATTAGTTACTTTTTAACGCAATATTGTAATAAATTACTTTTAAAAGTAACTTTCCCCAACACTGTTTCCTATAATAGGCAAATTACGCATCATAAATAGCAGGCCACTTCGGTAAATTCTGCTTTCATACTAACGGCAGACTGTACTGAAATCCACATGAACAGACAAGGATTCGTTTCAGGTTTGAACCTAAAGTATCATTGAGATTTTATTATAGTTTTTTTTAATTAATATTTTGAATTAGATTTTATTTTCTGCATTTTTTAAAATTTATATATATATTTATATTTTTGTTTGAATTTTAGTTTTTCATTTTTTATTTTAAATTTACATTTTTATTAATTTCATTGTATACATATTTTTTTATATATATATAATTCAAATAGCCAGGAGTATCATCTGTATGCAAGGTGACTACATTTGGGTTTTTTCGACCACTGAAAATGGGTAAAATTCAACAATTTGCACAACAATATTTGGACATGGAGCCACACTGAGATCCCAGATCTCTGGAAATTAACCACATAGGGCCTTAAAAATGAAGATACCACAAGAAAAGTTTGTTAAGAACCAGAATCTGAATGGATATTGAGATCTCTTTAATACTTCTTGAGTTACAGGCACACAAACTTTGGAAAAAGAGTATTTTGTCACTCAGACAGGTATGGTCTATGAAATTGTTTTGATAGAGAGAAACGAGATACTTTTCTAGTTTTAACATTATTTGTTCTTCAGACATTCCTCTTTAAAAGAACAAAGTATCAGCAGAATGCAAAGTGACCCACATTTGGTTTTTGACCATGGAAAATGTTTACAATTTAACAATTTACTCCTGGAGCCCTATTGAGTTCCCAATATCTCTGGAACTGAACCATATGGGGCCTTAAAAATATACATGCCAAAAGAAATGTTGGTTAAGAACCCAAATCTAAAAGAGCATTAAGATACCTTTAATACTTCTTGAGTTACAGGCATGCAAACTTTGGGGAAAAAACTTGAAAAGTGCTTTTCCCCCACATTTGAACGGTCACCGTTGGCATATAATGCAACAAAGATTGCTAAAGTCAACAGATTTTACTAATAGACCCTTTGCTTGGTTTCTCTACATAATCCATTCACAACTTGAATACAATTTTGTTTGTCTAATAAGAGGACCAAACGTATACTGTTTCAGAAATGCTAAACGCGAGTGTAAAAAATTACGCGAGTCAATCCGTGAAAACATCTGACAAGCCGATGTCAAAAACAGAGCTGTGCATTAAGTGATTCAGACTAAATTCAAAGAAACAAAAATCTACAGAAGCAACAAGTCTGTGTTGGCTGAATAGATTTAGCAGCTTCTACAGTTAAACATATATTCACTGATTATTGTTCAGTAAAGTAAAAGCATTTGTTATAATCAGGGGTGCACATAAGCGGTACGCAGGTGCGCATGCATGACCAAAATAAAAAATGCTCATTTGCGAACCGACACTGTTGACAGCTATTAATGCACAATCACTGTTTTAGATCGACTAATTGTGATACTGTATAAGATTTTCACTCAAACCGAAAGCATAAATCCAGGCGATGCGCTGCCAGTTTCACAGCAAAATGCAAAATGGACATTTCATTCACCGACGCTCTTCACTCGGCAGCGCATATACTTACTTGCTGATTTTAGGTTTGAAAATGATGAAAATTCATGAAAAAAAGATACTATTAAGTGTACTATAAAATAACTGTATTTTTATTTAATATTTAATTTATTTTAACATATTAAAATACAAAATAAATAAATGCAATAATACTATTATTACTATTAATAATTATTATTTTATTTTTAGTTATATTTAATGAGTCACACTGTGCAGTGTGAGTATCAAACCAAATATCCAGGTTTTCTCATGAGAACCAAACCGAAAAACTTATGTGTAAAACCCCTGGTTTTAATAGTCATTTTATAATAAATCCAAAATTAAGACGTGAAAAAAATAGGGAGTTGAAATGGCAACTGAGCTAATGAGAGATGCTCTGCTGCCATCTACTGGTTATAATGCTAATTTCATGCCATTTTCATCTTAAAAGTCTTTGTTTTCCACCAGGAGATATTTTTTCATGTCATCTTCATGAATGAAACGTGAATCTTTAAAATGCATTAAATGTACAGTATTACATGTCTGGGAACTCTCCTGGGATTACAGGCTCGGCATATACAATTATATGTAAATGTTAATGAGCTCTGCTGACCCCGCCCCTCTCTTCTGAAACTTGCTAATTAGCACATTATTAGGAAAGGTGATTTGCAAAGATTCATTAAAAAGCCTTATACTCACTTCTTCTGTAGGTGAAGCTGGATAACGAATGATTTGCACGAACATAGACGCATTTATGTAGATCGGGGGCGCATTCTCTTCAAAAACAAACAATCCACTGCGTCTTCAGCGGCTCAGATGTCGGGAGTAAATGACGCACACACTGCCAACACACATTTCAGTTCAAACAACTTGTAAAAGTGTATGTAGCATCCGATGACCCCTTTAAATAACATGAAACTGTATGTTAATGCCGCAATCATTAGTTACAGTGTTGCAATTATTTTGCTTCTCAGTTTCTGATAAGAATGATGCTTTGACACCGAGTGACCGAACAGCATCATGTAAGGCTCACCATGCCATCAGTGAAATACTTGCAGCTCATCTTGATGAATTTGACGGTGGCCGGACTCTCGTCTTCAGACAGGGGTGACGTCTCTCTACACACGGGCCGTCTGGACCGGCTGCTCGAGTCACTGTCCTGTCAGAAGGAGATATCAGAGATCCATTAGTGCTGCCTGATACGCATTCAATACTCATAACGCTTATTATAACTGCATTAGTCAACAATACAGCAGAAGGAATATAGAAATCAGCAAAAACTCCTCAGGATGAAGTATACTGGAGATTTAAGCACTTTAATAGAGCTCCACCAGTAAAAACCAATGTTTAATATCTTCATGAGCTCAGAGGCTTTTATGAAATTTTGGGTTCGGAGGAAACTGCAGGAGGTCTGTGAGCAGATGAAAAGATGATAATTATAAAAAACAATTACACTTGCCAAAATAGGACTATTTTATGTGTTTCCTGCGTGTCATGTGAACATTAACTGACATCAGGAAAATTGTTAGAATTTATTGAACAATTTATTAAACATTATTGAGATATTTAAATCTTAAGAAAATAATTTAGGATAATTTACTGAATGTCTAGCGCTGTGTTATTTTAGTATCATTGAGGTACTATTATAGTTTTAATCTATTTTTTTTTTTAAATGTTTTTATTTTTCTATTTTCATTTTTAAAAATTTAGTGTTTGTCATTTTTATAATTTTTAAAAATGTGTTTGTTTTTATTTTTTTTATTTCAGTTTTAGTTTTATACATCGTTAATTGAAATAAAGCAGAAATAAAACAAGATCAAATCTAAATATTAGATGTAAAAAACGTTATGTAAACTTTTTAAAATTAACTAACCCTCCCCAAAAATAAACTGAAGTTTAAAAACTACAAAAAGCACATAATATAATTAATAAAACTAAAATTTAAATTTAAATTAAAACTGAAAAAAAAAAATAATAATAATAAAAAAACCTAAATAATACAAGTTGAATTAAATGAAAAAGAAACGGTGCCTTGTCAAATAACTGAAATAAGTTAAATAAAAAGTTTGTAATAAATATAAAATAAGTTTTTATATATATTTTATTTCAGTTAAAGTTTATTTCATTTAAAATATTTTTTTTTTTTTCGTTTTTGGTTTTAGTTTTAGTTAACTATAATAACCCTGGTCTAGCAATATATTACACTAAGTGTGTAATTATGTTTAAACAATAGTTTTATGACAGCTATAGTTTTATTATAGTGTAGCACATTGCATCATGGGATGTTTGACTCATAAAAGAGTTTAAGCACACAGTCAGCAGTGTTTGTCTTCCTTGTGATATTCAAACACTGTTTTGCTTCACACAGTTTGTATGGATGTGATTCATGTCTGAAGCGTCTTACCTTAGGCTCCTTCTCTGACGACTCTGACGCTGTGAGATGCTCAGAGGAGCCGTCTGATTGGTCCAGATCAGGAACGAACAGTTTCTGTGCAGGATCGAGTAAAACGAGACGTTCAGTGTTAGGCTTTACTGAATCACAGCTCAGAGAGCAGGAGAGAAACTCACCTGTCCAGGTACGACGCTGTGCGAGTAGAGACGGTTCAGCTGCACCAGTTTATTCGGGGTGATGTTGAACTTCAGAGCGATGCTGTTCAGAGTGTCCTTCGGTCCGACCTGACCGGTTAAACACGTCAAATATAAGCACTTTATTGATGAGATGAGCAGTGTTTGTACAGTAAGACCAACTCACGGTGAACTGCACGGTTCCTGGAGGTTTACTTTTCTCTTTCTTGGTCTGGCTGCATGGTTTGCTGTTGTCATCTGAAAGAAGAGATTGAAAACACTCAGTGAGTGAATCACAGTACAGTTATTGCTGTTACTACTTGCTGAGAAAGATACTGAATAAACACTGGTTTAATGACACCGACTCTAATTTTACACACAATCCATCTCTGTCTGATAATACGCTGTTTTACTGTACGATCACAGTATGTGGAGTTTAGTTTTGATTTTTTTTTTAAATATATAAAATAATATAAAAATAATATTTGAAATTATTTTATTTCAGCTAGCTGCCAAGGAAAAAAATTCTAATTTTAATTTAGTTTAATGTGATGTACTGAATAACTAAAACTAAAATAAAAATGAACAAAAACTATATAAACACATTTTTAAAAATTAATAAAAAAAACACAAAAAAATTCCTAGAACTTTAACAGGAATGAAAATGACACCAGAAAACAACTAAACTAAAAATATTAATAAAAACTATAATACTATCTCAACAGTACTAAAATAACACTGGTGTGGTCAGATTTAAAAGTAATGACTCTAATGAGGCGGTTCTATTGAATGAATGAATCAAAATGAGTCAAATGACTCAAACGACTCAAATGACTCAACCGAAATCACTCACTGAATCAGTCGGAGTGGACACATGTGACTCAAAACCAAAAACTGTTAGAGTGTGTTAAACTGTCAAATTTCTTTAGTATTATCTGGTTGTTCTTATCAGTGTTTTTATTGTTAACTAAAATTGAAACATTTAATTGAAATAATCGTTAATTGAAATAAAGCTGAAATAAATATAAATATTAGAAATGAAATTTACTTAAAAATCTTTGAAAAGCTGCCTTGGCTAACTGAAATAAATTGAAGTTGAAATACTACAATGACTAAAATTAAAACTAAAAAATAAATAAAAATGACAAAAGCACATAGCAAAATTACTAAAACGAAAATTGCAAACATAAAAATATATTTAAAAAAAAAACAAATAAAAAAACAAAAGTACTTAACAAAATTACTAAAACTTAAAAAGAAAACTGAAATCATAAAAAAGTTAAAACTAAAAAAGCAAAAATACATAAAATTACTAAAACTGAAAATAAAAATAAATAAATAAAACACCAAAGCACATAAACTTACTAAAACGAAAACATAAGAAAAACAAAAACAATAAAAATGACAAAACAACATTAAAAAATTTAAATTATAATGAAACCCGAAAACCTAAAAATAAAGACTAATTCAACACATTAATAAATATTATTATATAAATAGCAGTAAAATAACACTGGTTCCCATCCACTCTGACTTCATCACCATCAGCTGTTGAACACTGGCTTGTGTAATGAGCCGCTGCTGACTCGGTGTCAAACATTAAGAACAATACGAGCGTCGTTCAACACCGCGACGCTCTGAAACCAGAGAAGAGACGTCAACATACACGACTGAACACACATGCATGATATATTCATCATACCGGCCGAAAACTCTGAACAATCAACTGGTCTGATTCAGCACTGAAACTTCCTTAAACAGCGTGTGACCTTTGACCGGGCGGTAAGGGTTCATCTGCGGGTCAGACTCTCTTCCCGTCTGTTAGACTCTGATAAATAACACACTCGGAGCTCATCTGCAGCCAAACTTCCTGTTTGAGTCCGTAATCCTCACAAACACGCTCACGTGAAATCTAAACCCACTCCATTTACTTTCCTAATCAATACACCTGCTCATAATGTGAACGCTTCAGGTGCTGCTGGATTCATAATCTTGCATCAAAATGTAATCATTTGCTTCACAGCTAATATTATTTACCAATAATAAATAAAAATAACCATTCACAATCAAATCAAACCCTAATAATATAGATTAAATACAATCTGTTTTAAATAAAAAAAAAAAAGGATATTTTCATTGCTATTTGTTTCATTGCTAAACTAATTTATTTGACTATTTTCATGGTGAAAACTAGGGATGCATGATTTAGGGGGAAAAAAAAAAACAAAAATTAGAAATGTTGCCTTGGCGATTAACTGAATTAAAAAAGGTTTAAGTTGAAACACTACAACAACTTAAATTAAAACTGTAAATAAATAAATAAAAATGGCAAAAAGACATAACAAAATGACTAAAACAAAAATTAAAATTAAAACAAATAAAAAACTACTAAAGAACTACTAAAACAAAACAAGAAATATTACTACTGCGATATAAGAAATTGAATATTTAAGAGATATATAATAGTAATAGTAAAAATAATTTTCATTATTATTATTATTATTAATACTAAATAAAAATATTAAATTTACTATAAATCAAAATAAGAAATATTACTACTGTAATATAAAATTAAGAAATATAATAATAATAATTTAGTATTAAATAATAATATCATTATTTTATTTTGCATTAGAAGTGTAAAATTACAATACTAATATTGATTTACTTTATTTATTATTATTATAAACTAATATTTATTTATTATTAATTTCTTTAATTTAAAAATGACAACTACCTAACTTTTATTTTGATGGATATCGTAACCGTAGCTTCTCTTTTGTTGATAAGTATGAGAAGATAGTTTTCATATGTTGTGTTCCCAAACGCAATTTAATTAAAACTCAGCCTTTGCCATCTAATAATTCAGCCATGTGGCGATTTTGGTTTTATTTTGATTAATAATGTAGCCCTACTCAAAACTGTTCTTGAAATTTTAAGATTTAAAATAGATACTCAATAAGAAAATGAAATAAAAATGGATTAATTTCATTAAAACCCCTAATTTATGTAGATTCAATGTGTTCACCTGATCCTCTCGCTCTTTCTGCATTCCTCTCCTGAGATCGACCAATAGCAGCAGGATCACGGATGACTGGCGTCTTGGATTCCAAATCTGATTGGTTCTGCTCTGCATCTGCTTTCTCTGATTGGCTCTGCCGCTTCTTCTTCAGCCTGCGATCCAGAAAACAAAAACACAACATTATCAGCAACAAAGAAACAGCGTAATAAAAAAATAAATAAAATCCTCCCACAGATTCATGACACTGCTCCTCTGCTGGGTGAAGCTGTGCCAGATCCAGAGAAACTGCCGTGGCCAGAGCCAAGATGGCCGAACTGAGCTCAAATAAACACATTTAACCACAAATTCTCTTTACTGAATTCTGTACATTATCAAATGCATTTTCAGATATTTTGTAATGATTTTGAGGTGAAATATGTCACATCATGTTCTTGAGGTATTGTGATTATTATAGAGCGAGAGGGAAAGCGGAGAAGAGGATTGTCTAATGGTGTATGACGACGAGGGGAGCCGATCGATCAAACCAGAGACACACTCAAAGCTGAAGCTGCAGGAAAGACTCTGCTGCAGTAACACACACACACACACACACACACACACACTCTCACATGATCTTCAAAAATCATTCTAATATGCTGATTTATTATTAGAATTATCAACAGTTGTGCTGCCAAATATTTGTTTGGAAACTGCGATATTTTTTTCAGGATTCTTTAATGAATAAAAAGTTAAAAAGAACAGCATTTATTCAAAATATATATATTTTCTAATAATATAAATCTTTGCTATTACTTCTTAACAGTTTAACACATCCTCAGTTTCCAGCTCTGATAATAAATCAGCATATTAGAATGATTTCTAATGATTCAACATTTCTAATAGGTTTTTCGTCTAATACTTACATTTCATTTTTTTATTTAAATGACTGAAAATTATTTTTAATGGTTTTAGATAGCAATTATGGACGTCTGTGTTTTGTTTTAGTTTCTGTTCTCCTGCCCTGTTTAGCTCTGATGCCCTCATTCTGATCGCTTTTGATTCATTACAGCTGTCCTTCGTTAATTAGCCCATTATACTGTATTAGTTGAGTCCAGGGCCGGTTATTTGCTGTACTTTTGTGTTGTGCTTCACCTGCTCCTGGGATGTGTAGCGTTTATTTCTTGTGGATTTATCATTATAGGACTTTTGTGGAATATTAATTCTGTTGGGCATTCAGAGCGATCACATGATTTCAGAAGACGAGGAATATAATGGACGAGTCATGTGAACTACTTTTATGATGCTTGTTGGCGTTTGACTGTATAAATCACCTCTAAATTCATGCGTGCAACAACAGCAGCTCAGACATTCAGCCTGACGTCTCTTCTGCTTTATGCGTTTGGCAGATGATTTTATCTATTCAAACTCATTTATAGTTTTATGTTGGAAGTCAGACAGATTTGTGTGAAAGTCCTTTTCTGCCACATATAAAAGAGACATGGAAAAATGCTTTGGTAAATCACAATTATGATATAAAAGTCCTAAAACTAAAAATTATGACGTAAAAAAAAAAATCAGAATTATTAGATAAAAAGTCATAATTATGACTTTAAAGTCATAATTAGTCATAACTACCACTTTTTTGTATCAATTTATTATATTATTTATTTTTGTAACTATTTATATCATAATTTCGATTTCTGTAATAATTATAACATAGTATCTCATAATGCCGTGTTTTTATATCGTAATTATTCTAATCATAATGAATCTAATTTTGGATTTTTTCCTCATAATTTTGACTTTGTATGTCATAATTATTATTTAATATCTCTTACTTTTGGCTTTGTCATAATTTCAACTTATGCAATAATGACTTAGTATCTCATAATTCTGACTTTTCATCATTTTGACTTTTTTTTTTTTTACATTGTATGTAATATTTATGGCTTTATTCTCATAATTTCAACTTTGTATGTCATAAGTATGACTTTTTATATCCAAATTTTGAGTTTTGTATATCATAACTTCGAATTACGTCATAATTATGACTTAATATCTCATAATTCCAACTTTTTTGTCACAACTTCAACTTTTTTGGTCATAATTATGGCATAGTATCTCATAATTATGACTTTTCATAATTTTGACTTTTTATGTCATAATTTTGACTTTGTCATAATGACATAGTATCTCATAATGTTGGCTTTTTATGTTATAATGATTAATTAGCATCTCTTAATTCTGACTTTTTTCTCGTAATTTTGACATTGCATGTAATAATTATGGCTTTATTCTCATAACTTTGTATGTCATAAATATTAAAGACTTTTATATCTGAATTTTGTACATCATAACTTCGACTTACGTCACAATTATGACTCATAATTCTGACTTTTCATAATTTTGACTTTTGTCATAATTATTACTTAATATCTCTTACTTTTCTCATAATTTTGTCTGTCATAATTTCAGTTTATGTAATAATTATAATAGTATCTCATAATGTTGTTATTTTATATCGTAATTATTCTAATCATAATTAATCTAATTTAGGATTTTTTTCTCATAATTTTGACTTTGTATGCCATAATTATTACTTTTGACTTTTCTCATAATTTTGACTTATGTAATAATGACATCTCTCTTCTTATGTTATAATGATTAATTAGCATCTCTTAATTCTGACTTTTTCTTGTAATTTTGACATTGCGTGTAAGAATTATTGCTTTAGTCTCAATTTCAACTTTGTATGTCATAAATATGTCTTTTTATATCCAAATTTTGAGTTTTATACATCATAACTTTGACTTATGTCACAATTATGACTTAGTATCTCATAATTCTGACTTTTTACATGTCATTTTGACATTGTATGCAATATTTATGGCTTTATTCTCATAATTTCAACTTTGTATGTCATAATGACTTTTTATATAATAATTTTGACTTTTAGTCACAATTATGACACAGTATCTCATAATGTTGATGTCATAATTGTTACTTAGTATCTCAAAATGCAGACTTTTTTCCTCATAATTTCAACACTGTATGTCATAATTATGACTTTTTATGTCCAAATGTTGAGTTTTGTACATCATAACTTCAGCCTACGTCATAATTATGACTTAGTATCTCATAATTCCGACTTTCTCACAACTTCAACTTTATAGGACATAATTATGGCTTATCATCTCATAATTTTGACTTTTTATGTAATAATTGTAACTTGCGTCATACTTATAACATAGTACAGCATAATTAGGTTTTTTATGTCAGTTATGAATTACCAAAGCATGATTTTGTTTCTTATGTGGCAGAAATGCGTTATTCCTTTGAGTTTTTCACACCAGCGAAACGTGATCCACAGCAAAATCTGTTATTTAAAATATCCTAATCCTGAAACAACATTATGAATTCCTCTTTCAGATCGACCAACTTCAGCCCTTAATGTCTGCCCACTCGGCTCTCACTTCCTGTCAAGTGCTTCCTGTTTAGTGTTATTCTAACCCAACCTCATCTCACCTGGCGAAGTATCCAGGCCTCTTCTCGGTCTTCTCCATTGCGGACGCGTGAAATGCTCCAACTCCGGTATCAGTCGTGCAACGTTGCCTGAGCACTCCTGTCTTCACAAAGACACAAAAAGGGAGGTGAAAACCAGCCCCTAAATACGCTCGCCCTTATCTCCAGCCGCGGGTCAATGGGTCACGTAGAGGGTTGCTGCAATAACCCCAATGACATAAGCATCAGGGACGAGAAACCGTCGATTCAGACCGGACGGGGCAAGACTGAGCTTGTTTTTTGGGGGTGAAGCCACTAGATCACACATCTTTATTGTTAAAACACTCATTATTGTTCATAATCAACAAAAGCCAGTGATAAGCAGTGATTACATTGAGCCTAAGCATGTGATTACTACCTGATATCTCCAATCAATCCGCTTTGGTCACATCAAACTGAACGGACAAATGACATAATCGCATTGAAACCCACGTCTAAGATGTGAAACTCACGTCGAGCACGTAATTTTACGCGCGTGCATGCACAGTGACGTCACGTGCACCACGTCACAGCGGATCTGTCACATGCATAACATCGGAAATTAATGCACAAATGACAAAATGATGTGCATGCATTATATGCAAGGTTTTAACAAAAGATAACATCATGCATAATTTTATTGACCGTGATCGACACACAGGCAGGCCAAATGATGCATGCTCATATTATATATTTAAACAGTTATGCCAATATATGCGTTTATAAATCAGTGTACAAAAGACATTCCTTTTGCATGCATTTGAAACGTACAGTGGTCCTGCCATTCACATTATCGGATTCAGTAGGTAATGCATCGCATGCACATGTGTAGAGAAGCAAACACCCACCTAAACAAACACTACATCCCTGAAGATCCCGCAGCTTCCTTCACTGCTTCACTTTTCAACAGCATCAGTCGTGGATTATGTCAATAATATTCGTATTCAAGTGGTGAATGTGGATGAGCGTGTGTTATTGTTGATATAAACACACACACATGCAGTCCAAGCTAACAGGCTAACGCTAAAGGCATTAAAGTCCCTCCATATCGAGATTCAAAGCGGATTCCGTGTTTTCTGGATATTTCGGTAACACCGACGCCTGTTTTCGGGACTTTGACCCGTTATATCGACAATCAATCGGCCCGAAACGCTGGATGTGCGTGTTTAGGTTTGCAAATATAATTATTTATGTATTCATATCTACATTTAAATGTAGATATTCTCATAGGTCGAAGTCCTTCCTTGCCACGCCCATTTTCCCGTATGATTGACAGGAAAAGCGGAAACGCCCCTCCCCCGCTTTAACTCCAGATCCATGACGTATTTATTTTGTGTTTTTATTGTTGTACAGTAACTTTTATACATAGCAGGCATCCATAAAATCGTTATATATATATATACACACACACGTATTTTTAAACATTATATTATTTTGTTGCAACTGTATTGCTGATTTTTATTTCAGTATTTTTATTATTTAATTTCATGCAAAATATAAACAATTATAAATAATAATTTTTAAAAAATCCAGAAACGTCAAAGTATTGTTTTGGACAATAAATACTGTAATTAATACATTTACAACATTTAAAATAAAATAAAATTACAATGTCTAAAACAAGTGTGACAACTTGCCCCAACTTATAATTCTCTTGTCCTGCGATCAGAGTTTTTCCTGCTGGTTTATATTATACAGCTGTCTTTTAACTTTATGTATTTGCATTTTAGATCAGAATTCATAATCTTGAACTGTTTTTAACTAGATGTTTGAAACAAAACCGCAGCTATAGACAAACAATGAACTTTTCCACGACATTCTAATTTATTGAGATGCACCTGTAGCTCTTATGTAGCCTAAGAGAAGTTTTGATCTATACCTGTGTATATGATCTCTAATAGAAAGATGAAGCGGTAATAAACAGCTGATGGACTGGAGTGCTGTGGATTACTTGTGGATTATTGTGATGTTTTTAATCACTCTCAATCTGACAGCACTGTAATATTATGTTAATAATATTATATTATGTATATTATGACCCAGCTTGTTGGGTTTTATACATTAACCCATTTGCTGGGTTGTTTTTGGACAGTGCTGGGTCAGAAGGTTTTTCATTTTAAATAATAGAAATGCACTCTAAAATCTGTTTTATCCAGGACAAGGACTGCTCATATACAATATCTTTTTTATTCAATGTCAAGTCAGTCTTTTACAATCATAAAATCTTCAAAAACATTCAATAAATGTTGTAGGACGTGACAGGAGCAGCCAATGGGAATCTGTGGATAGAAAACTGCTGCCATAGGCTTAATTAAATGACTTATATTCATGACTTATCTTGTATTCATGTTTGAAAAGTTACCTCAAAAACAGCTTTATGCCATTTTGTCTGTCAGACATTTAAGTTTCAGTCAGAGGAGCGCCGTGATTCTTTTGAATCGCTTCTTTTTAGTGAACTGGTCGAACCGGTTCACCAAATCTGAATGAATCGTTTGAAACAGTTCGAATCTCCAGTAAGCACTGAGCCACACATTACTTAAATGACTCACTTTCTTTCTGTCTTTCCCCTCAACTGTATCATAAAATGGTTAGTTAATCGAAGCTTTTCAACACGTTGCACATTAATTATATCTTGTGGTCAAAAGATGCCAAGCCATGTTTGGACTGTTTCATATAATAAATCAATTTGTGTAAAAAAAACACATAAAGCATAAAATAAAAAAATGTCATTGTACTTACACAAAGTATGAATAAATGAGTATGCGAATAAATTGGGTTGGGTTGTTTTGACCCAGCGGTTGGGTTGCTTTGACCCAGCTATTGGGTTGTTTTGACCCAGCTATTGGGTTGTTTTGACCCAGCTATTGGGTTGTTTTGACCCAGCTATTGGGTTGTTTTGACCCAGCTATTGGGTTGTTTTGACCCAGCTATTGGGTTGTTTTGACCCAGCTATTGGGTTGTTTTGACCCAGCTATTGGGTTGTTTTGACCCAGCTATTGGGTTGTTTTGACCCAGCTATTGGGTTGTTTTGACCCAGCGGTTGGGTTGTTTTGACCCAGCGGTTGGGTTGTTTTGACCCAGCGGTTGGGTTGTTTTGACCCAGCGGTTGGGTTG